ACACGACTCACTATCACTTTCCGCTCCTCTTTCGACAGGCGCTCCAATTTGTTGCGAATTGAATACGACAGCCGAGCGCCGGGAGCTGTCCGTCCACACCATATATCAATGCAAACCAATTAGTATTCTTTGGACACTACTCTCATAGAGGGGTCATAGAGGGGTCATAGAGGGGTCATTCCGGGGGTTTACAGATAACAGCAATCATTGTCTCTCATTGATTAAAGTCAGTGAGAGTTCATACAAATGCTATTCAATGCCATTAAGTGCTGAGAAAATATGTGTTGTATTCAAAGGGATCACAGAATTAAAGATTATTTTAGAAAATTCCTATAATTTAAATCATTTCACAATTCTGGCAATGATTTAGATTTTGAGTCAATTAGATGTGAGAAGGACTTGTATTTTAAATGTCAGATCATATGATAGTTAAGTCTATATTTAAAACTTGACGTAAAATTTTCAATGACTTTACATTTAATGTCACAAAAATCTATTCTTTATGTAAAGCAATAAATTGTAAAATAATTGATAGGAATATGATTTTAAAAATCAATGTTTGCTTTAGATAATATACAATTATAAAAATCAATTATTCTGACCAAATAATACAATATTTGCTACTCATTTAAATCATAAAAATATTTAAACATTAGTTTAAGAATATATTCATATCTAAGCCATTAAATGGTAAGATTAAAGTGAAATCGAGACAATTATTGTATTAGTGGATAGCATTGGCAGCATTAATGGCATAAATATTAGACATTTAATTGCATGATAGCATAGATATTTGCATTGTTCATATTTAAACCATTGTACTTAATATTGAGTTTATGTATATTATAATAGCATTTATTCACGAATGAAGTGAATTAGTGGTAAATTTATATAAATGGCAAATAAGTGAATATGAGTGAAATGAACAGACAATGAAGGGAATGGTAGGGAGAGGTAGGGACTGGTAGGTTGAGTGGACAACAAAGGTGGTGTTACCTGAGAGTCTGCATTCAGTGATGAGTTCATTGAAGCACTGGTCGATATATGATGTCTGGTCTAATTTAGTTGAGATCCACATGTCGTACGGATTGTTAATGCCTTTGATTAGTGTCGAGAAGCGATTGAAAACACTTTATAATGATATCAATATTATTAATATATTTGACAAACACTCGACAACATCAGGCAGTCGTCCATATGATTGCCTTAAAGCCCACTCCCTTACGTCATATGAGCTCTACTACTCCGTGCAACTGTCAGACTACCAGTGCCTGACTACCAGTGCCTCCCTGCGCTCGCTTGTATACATGGCTCATAAAAACCTTTAAACTACAGTAACAGTAATCCAATGAATGTTGTCACTAAGAGTACAGTCTAATCCCGTTTATGGTTACTATTTGAGATCGTGTTTTACTTTTTACCATGGTCATTTATGTATTATAATTTACTATCAAGTCATCGCTAACGTAAATAAGTTTATTAACAATTTTAAAATGTTGTCAACATTGAGAGATACAGTACTTGTCAATAAATTTTATCAAATGCAATCATTTAGTAACTAATTCAAAAAATTCACTCATTTCTGTCAAATGCACACTAAAATAAATTATCTGTTAAATATTCATAGGAATTTTAATTATCATTATTAATTTCAGTATTTTAGTTAATTATGCTCTAAAATATATTAATATTAACTAGCTAATGTAATGTAAAACTATTATAAATCAATTTAGTATTGATTTTGTTACACCTATTTCTATAGGTTCTATAAGTTATTCATTTATTGTTCAATATTAGGTATTCATTTCATAAATGATTAGCAAAAGTTGGTCAAAGTTTAAGCGAATAAATTATATGAGTAGTTTGCAATAAATGAATAAACTGTACAATACTTGGATACTATACTGTATTTTAAGCGCTGAAGGCTATAACAAATATAAATCTGGAGAGAAAGTAGTATTTAGCAAATCCTTGACATCAAACTATTTTTTAAACTTCTCTCACTTTAATCAAGGATTTGAAACCACTTTTAAAATGTAAAACTTCACACTCTTTGCGCGTATTTATAGCAGTCTTTCACAGTTTGCATGAAATCTAACTCATTTGTCAGTACTCAGACGTTTTAGTTATAATTATTTAATTAGAAATACTTTTATAATATAATAAAAATAATATATTACTAAAAATCAACTTTATAAAATGAAATGATATACCTTTCCATTTGTGTTTCTTAGGTGTTTGTAGACTTTGTGCCACAAATAGTCTGCCAATAGTTTAGTATTGAATTCTATAATATA